TAAGGCACATGGTGGGATTCTTAGGGCTGTCCTGTGCAGGGCCAGGAGCTGGACTCTGTGATCCTTGTGTGTCCCTTCCCACTCAAGATTTTCTATGACGCCCTTTATCGTAGGAAAGCTACTCTGAGAAATTCCTTTTTGAGCTAAGCAAGCAGCTTCACAGCTTTTCCAGGACGGAGTCACCCTGGGGTTGACGAAGTCGCCCTGGGGTTCCCGACTGCCCAGAGGTCCCGAGACAGTGCAAGGCCTCCCGGCTGCTCCTCACGAGACTTTCCGCCCGGCAGCAGCGGGAGAGGGAGCGGGAAAAAGGAGCCCGTTCCTCGGGAAGCCGCGGCCCTCCGGCGCCGCACTGCCCGGCTCCCTCTCGCCGCTCCCTGGCCGGGCGGGCGCAGGGCCGGATACGTAACAGCGGCGGTGCCGCGGGGAGGACGGGCGGGCAGGGGAAGCCGGCGCTGGCGGCGGCCCAATCGGGCGCGGAGGGGAGGGGATGGAGGGGAGGCAGCGTGACCGCATACATAACGCGGGGATTAGCGCCCCGCGGAGCCCCGCACTCACCGCCACCTGTTGATGCCCACGTTGGAGGAGCCGGCGAACCAGGGGTCCAGGATGTAGACGCAGCGCACCGTGTCGGCGCCCTGGATGCATTCCCGCAGCGCCGGGTTGTCGTGGAGCCGCAGCCCCTTGCGGAACCAGTGCACGGCGTTCACCCCCATGCCGGGTGCGGGCGCTCAGCGGGAACCGCCGCCGCCCGCGGGGCCACTCATGGCCCGGCGCCGCCGGGCGAGCACGGGCGGGCGGCCGGCGGGGCCTCGCTGCGGGCGGTTCTAAGACCCGGCGGACACGGCGGGAGCGGCCGCCCAGCGGGGACGCATCACCCCGCGGGGCCCCCGCGCCGGGGAGAGCGGGGCCGAAGGTAGGGAGGGAGGGAGCGCTGTGTGCGGCGGTGGCTGCGGGGCGGTGAGCGCGCCGTGCCCGCGGGAAGCGCCGTTCGTGCCGCTCCTCGCCGCTCGCCCTGTGACTGCGCCGGGCGCGGGGCTGCGCCGGCCGCCCCGCCCCGCCCCCCCACCGCCCATTGGCCGGTGGCGGCCCCACGTGACCGCCGGCCCTCACGTTTCTGAGGTGTGTTCGGTACCGCCGGCCCGGCGGGGCGGGCGGCCGGACCGGGGGGAGGCGCGCCCGCGGCGGGCCGGGAAGCGGCTGGCACAGCCCGCGATCCCGGTGGGAATCCCACCTGCCGGGTCGGCGCGGGGCCGGCGGGCCGCGGCGGAGAGGGCGGAGACCGCGGGCTGCCCCCCCCCTCCCCTGGGCGGGACCCGGATGAGCACGGGGCCGCGAGGCGGCTCTCGGTGGCGCCGGTGTCCGCCGGGACGCGCACGCGCGCACGCCGGCCTGTTATGTATAGCGCTCCGCGCGCGCCCGCGGCGGGGGCGCGCACGGGCGGCGGCGCGGTCACGGTCACCCCCCCCAACCCCCCACCCCCGGCCTATGCCCACCGATCCCAGCGCTCCACGTCCCGTCCCATCCCATCCCATCCCGCGGGAAACAGGCGGGGCGCTTATATAAGCGTGTGCGTAAGGAGCTGGACCGGAGGATCTCCAGAGGGCCCTCCCAATTCCGTGATTCTGTGAAACGGGCCGAGGTCTCGGTGCCCGCTGCATCCGCGAGGGGCTGGGCAAAAGAGCTGGACAGGAACCCCCGGGCAAGGGAGAGCGGCTCGGCTGTGCGGTGCTGCCACAACCAAACACACTTGAAAGGAGCTGAATGAGTTGTCTCTCTAGTGCTGTATTTAAAGTCATTATCAGTAAATGGTGAATATCTACACGTCTTTTAATTACAGAGCTCAAAACACGGACTGTGTGCTGCCTACACAGCAGGTTTCCCCGTACCTGCTCCAGGGTTAAGCGGGGCACGGCCAGCAGCTAGTGAAGGCATCTTACTGATAGGACTCAGTAGACCCATTTCGAGTCTTAACAAGACAGCTCTAGATGCAAATGTGAAAATAAACCTCCACCTGTGGATTGCCAGTCAAATCTACAGATTCCAGGGTATTCACGGACAAGGAGGTAGCAACAGTAAGAGTGCTGTCATTAGAAATAATGTCTCAGGTAAAAGACAGAGGACTCTAATCAGCACTACTGACCTTTCTTGCCTTTCAGAAGACCAGACCAGTCTAGTACTTCAAGAACTGTAGTTTTTCTTTCTCCTGTTTTTTATGCTAAAATACATGGAAAGTATACGTCAAGTCAGCAAAGCCCCTTCACACTTTCCTTTCCTCACTTTGACTTAATAAAGAGAGTAATAGAATCACATAATCATTTAGCTTGGAAAAGACCTCTAAGATCATTGAGTCCAATCTTGGACCAACCTCCTCCTTGTCAACTAGACCATAGCACTGTCATGTCCAGTCATTTCCTGAACACCTTCAGGGATGAGTCCACCACTGCCCTGGCCAGTCCATTCCAATGTTTAACAATTCTTTCCATGAAGAAATCCTCCCTGATGTCCAGTCTGAACTTCCCCTGGTGCAGCTGGAGGCTCCATACTCCTGTCTGTCAGTAGTTGCCTGGGAGACCGACCCCCACCTGGCTACAAGCTCCTTTCAGCAGGTTGAAAATGCCATCAGTGATCAAGGTATGCTAGCAGCAAAGGACCCAGTCATGATTAGAATCCCTTTCTATTTGGTCTTACACAAAATTTCTTTCTAAAAAGTATGGAGGCTGAACAGTTCTTAAGCACTGACTTTAACAACAGCATAAAATATAATGAGTTTTTCAATTATTACTTTGTTGTATGTAGAACATCATACTCCACAGCTCGTCATTCTGGTCCAAGAAGAATATATAGGATCCTATCATATACACGCTTCCTGCAACTCAAGGCTGGAGTCGTTTGGGGCATTGTAAAGTTGAACCTTCTTTTCTCAACTAATACAAAGTACATTCTTCCTTGCCTGTTTTTTGTTTAATTTTTATCCTTGAGAAATGCCAAACATTTGGTATGTAGTTGTCAAAGAAATAAAACAGAAAAAGAAAATCTGTTTGTTAATGACCACTGTCCATCAAACTCATTTGAATTCTGTAATTTTTGAGCACATTGAAGAAGTAGAGTCCCTATTTTCAAGGAAAGTCACCTTACAACATAGTTTTTATTTCAGACTTTTAAACTGCTCATTCATACTCTTTATGTTCCCTGCTAGCCTCCCACAAGGCTGCCACACTGAAGATGGCCCAGAATAAAGTCCAGTATCAACCAATCTGCCTTGAAGGAATACTGAGATGGAAGCAGCCCTTCCTCACTAGACCTTATGGCTTCATAAGCAAATTGCAACCATGAAAACCATCACTCTGTAAGCTGTTTGTTGCTACAGGCTAAATAACAACTGTAGTATGTCATTAGCATATCATTATGTCAAAACACTATGTGGCTCTAGCCATACCTTCTATGTTAGACAGTTTGTTCTTCATTTAGAAGTGGAAGGAAGGTGAAGAATGTATTAATTAAAATGTCTAATCTCAAGGGAAGAGTCTCTCCAAGTTAGTTGGAAAAAAAAATAGAATCACAGTTAATCAAGGAACTCATAAAAGGAAACCTCGCTACTGTGTTCTCTTGTGAATAACTTATTTTTTAACAATTGCTAATTTAGCTAATTTACAGACAATGATTGAAAAAATCGAGAGAGTAGGGAGCAATTAGAAGGGAAAAAAGATACCATGAAGGCATGAAGCAACAAAACCAGAAAGAAGCAAATATACAAAACATTGTGTATTACAAATTGGAAGCATTTTTTAGATGCTTATTTTTAACATCATTGCATGCAATTACATTTACAAACATTGTTAACTGTTCTTGAAACAGCTGTTATGTAGGAGATAAAGCCTGAACTGCATTCCTACAGCAGCGTTTCTTTTGGTAGCAGTTCTCTTCTTCAACTCATCTTTTTTCACAGATGCAGTACAGATTACTGAACACGTAGCTGAAGTATTCCCAGAGGGAACAGCAGTAATTTTCACTCTCTGAAGGATGTGATTGTGCAGACCTAGAGTTAGTTAAAAAATTCCAAACAGCCCTAGTATAAATCTTTCTAGTCCAGAAACCATTTGTGACTGTAGAGTTGTTACTCTAGAAGAGAAATTAAGTAGATATAGATGAAAAAAATAAGGCAGAGGAAGGTGGTTCTCATCATCACAGCTCAAAACTGTGTTTTACAGTTCTGAAACGCCACCAGCCAAAACACTATAGACCCAACAGCTACATATGTGAATTTTATTCTTTTGATCTGTAATAAAGCAGCGATCATATGGAAGAAAATATGATGATATAAGACAAACCACCCATCGTAATTCAGTGTTACCAAATCAAAAGGATCATAGAATCATAGAATCAGCCAGGTAGGAAAAGACCTCTGAGATCATCAAGTCCAACCCTTGATCCACTACTGCCGTGATTACCAGACCATGGCAATAAGCGCCACATCCAGTATCATCTTAAAAACCTCCAGGAATGGAGAATCCACCACTTCCCTGGGCAGCCCATTCCAATGCCTGATTACCCTCTCTGTAAAGAATTTCTTAATAATTTGCTTCCCATCGGAATACAGGCACCCAAGTAGCCTAACCTTAAAATGTTTGACTCTTTGCCATCAGACTACTTCAGAATGACTGACTGTCAAAGTATTTTTTTTTTTTCTATTTACCACTCTAATTCTCTCTGAGAGCTGTTTTAACCCAACCCCCCGTATCTCCTTCTCGTCCCATCAAACCCTGCTCTAACAAGTGATGGAACCCCGTGTGATTTCGCCCCAGCCGAGGCCGTGAGTTCCGGGTGCCGTGGGACAGCACGTCCTGCCGCCCGCAATCGCGGTCACCGCCTCCCGCGCAGGGCACATCCCCGTTCCAACCCCCGGGGCCGGGCGGCGGCGCTGAGGCCGGTGAGCGCGGGCGGGGGCCGGGCGGGGGCTCGGCCGCTCTCCGGGCGCGGGGCAGCCCTGGCGTGCTCCGGGAAGCCGTGAGGATGGAGGGGGCGGGATGCAGCGGGAGAGGCCGCACGGTTCCGAGGGGCCCCGGGCGCGGGGCCTCCTTGTCGGCCGCAGGAGGCGCCGGCAGGAGCGGGATAACCGGCTGCGGCAGCGCGCACGGACAGAGGCCTGGCGGGCCTGCCAGCCTCTGCTCCCGTCCCGGCCGCAGGGAGACATCCGCCTCCTGCCGCTCCGCCCCCAAGCGGAGGCCACGGGGTGAGAGAGGGATCGTCCCTGTGGCCGGGCTTTGGGAGCAGGGTGCGATGGAGAATCTTGTTTTCTCTGTACTAAAAGCACCACTTGAGGACCCTTAGTTTAAATAATGCGGTGAGTCCTTAAGCACTTCGCAAATGTTTTTCCTAGATACAGGGAAAAGCTTTTTCCCCACGAGGACAGTTGAGCAGTAGAACAGGTACCCCTCAGAGGCCGGGTGGGCTTCATCTCTGGACAAATCAGCTTGGTCTTTTTTCATAGTACTGCTTTGAGCACTTGAGGTCCATTCCAACCTGGATTATTCTAGGATCCTCTGTTTGTTTTTTGTTTTGTTTTTCTATAAAGCTTTATGTTGATCTAGCATATCTTGTAATCTTCTTTGCCTCATTTCCACTACTGATGCAAAGCAGGGATTCATTTTTTGTCTATAACTGCAGAAATATGAACACTTCTTCTGTTGTGCATTAATCTACAAAACCATTACATATCGCCCCGCCCAATTTCTTCACAGACCATTCAAATCCTGTGTACACCGCTCACTTCGAGGTAGATACCTACTCTTCCTGGTTAATTCAAAGTTCAATCTAAGCTTTCTGTAGTTTCATTTAATTTCCTACAGCCTACTATGTTTGCTGTGGTGAGGTAATGAGAATGGTAGTGACCAGCACAAAGTAGCAGTCGAAAAATACAAGATGAGTAAGAGGTTGCTAATTTTCAAACACGAAATTTCAGTCTTAAAACACACATTCAGAAATTTAAATGAGGGATGAATCAGCCAGCTGATCCTTGTATCCATTTCCTTTAGAAGATCTCATAAATAATGAGATTAAATGAGATAAAATTAAATACTGAAACTTACAGCACCCCTTTACTCTATATATTCAGATCTCTAGCAAGCAGGATCACAGGTACTTCCAGATAGACATTAGTTCATTTCCTAATTGCTGTTCTAATACTTGGTGATAGGAGAGCAAACATCTCAACTGAGCTGGCTTTCTTAATCTCTCAACTGATTTACAATCCCCACAGCAACATAAGTATGTAAAAAGTTACAGTGGGGTCCTG